TGTGTTATTTTGCCAAGTTAAGAGACAGACACAAGCATCTCTATCTACCTTCATCTCAGTGACATTCTTCTAACCAAAGCCTAAAACATTCTCAATCTTTCTCCTGGAGGATATGAAACAGCCATTTGCTGACTGATCGGCCTTCCTTTCCTTACTGAAATTCTGTTCTCTATTGGTTTGGAAGACAACATATTTTCCTGATTCTCTGTTCTACTTTTTTGTTCTTCCTCTATACTGGGTCTTTCTTCTTCCTGATTACCAAACACCTGATCTATCAGCATGTCCTGAAAATTCTATCTTCAACAGGTTATCTCAAATCCATCCACCTCTTTCCATCTCCACAACCGTCAACATTAATCCAACCTAAGATTTTCTCTGCTTTAGACTTCCCAGCCATCCCCCAGTCAGTCTTCTACTTATCTCCTTGCTCCTCTCCAATTCCACACACTGCTGTTACTAAGCATTTTGGATCATGTTATTCTTTTGCTGAAAACCCATAAAAACTTTCAAAGAAACTAAAGGCAGTACTCTATTCACAGGAAGCACTCAATCAGGTATTACTGGATGAATGAATAAATGAGGACACCGAACAAGACTGTTGTAAGCTCTGTTCTTTTTGCAATTTATATCTATTCACTTAAAGGAGTTCCCTTCTTGCAGTTAAAAATAACACTTCATGATCTTCATAATCTCCTGCCTCAAACTCTTATCCCAGCTCTAGTGCTAGATGTTCATTTTAAGATCTGTTTATTTTACTATCATGTCAAAGTCTAAATGAAAAAAGCAAAGCACAAAACAGTATACTACCATGTAGGCCAATAAAACGGAGAACAGACACATGATTGTGTGCATATTTGTTTACATATGCATAAAACCTGAGCAGATACACTTGAAAGTGATAACATCACTGGCCTCTAGCAAAAGAAACTGTTTGTCTAGGGTGGGAAGGAGACTTCACTAAATACCTTTTGATTTTTAGCTATGTGAATGACTTATTCAAAATAAATAGTTGTTTTTGTTGTAAATACACGTCTCAGACCAAATGAACACTGTAAACCTGCTTTCCTTCTCAACTTCCCAGTCCCAGTTTCCGGAAAGAATCATTACTTTCCTGGCCCCAAGACTCAAAAACACTACCAGTAACCTTGGATTTGGAGACCTGGTGGTGCAGTGGCTAAGAGCTCAGATGCTAACCAAAGGGTGGGCAGTTCAAGTCCACCAGCTGCTCCCTGGAAACCCTAGGGGCAGTTCTCCTCTGCCCTATAGGGTCGCTATGAGTCAGAACTGACTTGAAGGCAACGGGTTTGGCTTCAACCTCTTTCACATTTAATTATTCACCAAATCTTCCAGTACTTTCTTGAAAGTATACTAGAGCTCTGTTCCTTCTTTCCAATTCCATTCACCACATTGGAACAGACTTTTTCATATATCCGAACTACTGCAAAAGTTCCTAAACAGTCTGGCTACTTCAACCACTTCTGCCTCACCCCTGACCCCCACATACACACCAATTCATTATTCATTCATTATCAAAGTGACTCATTATCACTTTCACCATCTTAGGACCCTACTCAAGAACCTATAATGGCTCTTTTGTTTAGCAAACCAAGCTCTCAAAGAAGAAACCTCTGCTGCAAACAGGCTTAACACCTTTTGTAGCAGGTGTACTCTTTCCTGCCCTATCGTAATACCTGCAACAAACACCATCAAGGAGAAGGAAACTTCTCTGAATGATTCCAACCCAAATCAATCTCTCCCTTTTCTAATTTTCTACTGACCAATCTGTGGAATACAAGTATTCATATTTTGTGTTGGCATATAACTATTGTCTAATGAAGGTCAAGAAACTTAACCTTTCTGTGCCTCAGCTGTCTCATCTGTGAAATGCCTTCACGGGCTTTGGATGAAGATTGGGGTAAAACACAACTTTTCTGCTATTTTATTATTGTCCTGTAACTGTTTCACCTGTTCTGTCCTGTCTCTAAATAGAACTGGGAAGGGTGACTTCCCTGTCCTTCTCTCCTAACCCCAACTGCAAAAAATCCCATTAAGTATAAAAGGCACATATCCCTATGACTGCTTTTGATTTAGTCAAGATCAGTAGGATTGATTTTAAATAACATAAAATGTTGACACATATCAGGAACTTTCTTTCATATTGCATTGTATAATCACTCTTCTCTTTCCACTGTGTTTATTTAAACACTTAACGTGCTGACTGGCTCCTTTAGGGTAAGGTAAGTATACCTTGTTCCCATTAACTACCTCGGTTTTGTGCAGAGTAAGCAAGAAAGTGATTCAATATTCAGTCGTCTGACATTTGACTCAATTCATTCTAACTTATCTGGGGCCCACGACTCAGTACTTCACTTTACAAAAAAGATGTATTTGGAACCCACTATCCAGTACTCATTTTAAAACTGTTAATGTTAAAATTAAATATTCCTCCCTGAATTTATTCCATGTATTTTAATACAGTACAATATTCTATAAATACAAATTTCTCTCTACTCGCTGAAATTTTTTATTAAAAACTCATTAATGAACAATATACTTAATGTAAATTTTAGAAATTAGTATTTTCTATTCTAATTTATTAAGTTAAATGACATTTAGAAAAAATAATTCTAATGAACCTAGAAAAATATTACTGTATCTGGAAATCTCAATTTATGTAACTTGGTAAAAAGTACAAATTGAACAAGATTATGGTAAAAATACAAAAAACTGGGTCAATTACAAAGAAACAATGTTTAACATAACCCCTAAATGACTCTCTGATTTCTATTAGAAAAGTGCATTCCATTTGAACAAAAATAAAGAAAAAAATGACCATTCATACAGGTTTTTCATTCTTATATACAAAGCTTTTCCATATACTTTTCATTGCCAAAGAGTTCTCTTAAACTTTAATGTTATTCAGTAAAAATATTTCAATTAAAAAAAAAGCCTTAGCAGTCTATTATTTAAACATGGTTAGTCACAGAACACATTTTACCAAAAATATAAAAAATTTTTTAATAAAGTATGTTTTTTCTCCAATATTTTAATAGCATATTCAAAAATGCTATTTATTGAGAACTTTCTAGCTGAGTAACATTACACATAAAACTATGTCATACAATTAAAAAAATAAAGGTTCACTGTGTTGGAAGACAACTATTTTATATATAAACCTCCACAATGTGACTTTTCCAATACTAACAACAGCTAAAGGACCTTGTATCCAATCTGAGAAGAACCCATATTATAACTAATTTGTGGGAATCGCTATGACTCTCATTTAAAAACCGAATTCCTGAGAATCTTATATTTATGCAAATGGAAGAAAAACTCTGAACAATCACAAGATACTACTATCTCTTAACAAACAAACAAAAAGCCAGAAGTGGCTATGTGATAAAATTCAGTACAAAGATGGAGTAACCATCTGCCTGGCTGACTTAGAAATTAAATTTACTTAAATATCTACCTTTAAATGTTTAAGGTATAGGAAACATCTTCAGGGGTTCAATTCAGGACAAATGTTTAATATGATTCTATATCAAAAAAGAAACATTTTATAAGCAGAGAAAAAAAGCTATTAATTGAATATTGAAAATTCAAAAAAAAAATATTTCAAAGAACTGATTCAGAATGTACTGCATACATAAAACAACTGTTTAACAGCCATCACTTTACTATTAGTGAGCTATGCAACTGACATCATTTTATTCCTCCAACTGTGAAGCAGTTGTTTCTGGGCATCCATATTTTTCATTAATAGACCTTGAAGATGGTAGGTATTTCTGTTGTGAATGTAACCCTAAAATAATTTCTCTTTCCTTCAAAAATCTCTGCCATATTCACTTTACAAATGACACCGCAAAAAAACCTGGAGATAATATAAATGTCTAACAATAGGTGTATATCATACATAAGAAAACTATACAGTAGTTAAAGTAACAAACAAAACAAAAAACTAGATCTACGCTGTTAACATGAATAAATGTCCAAAATAACGTTGAGTGAAAAATGCAAGTTGCAGAATATACGTAAGGGTATGGTACCAATTGTGTAAAGTTTTAAAACATACAACACTACATATTGTTTAGGGATACATACATATGCAGAAAAGGTATAAAAGCATGTACAGAAACAATATACATCAATTTCAGAATAGTGGTTACCTTTGGCGAGGGGGGAGAATGAGTAGAATGGGATGCGTACAAAGGGAGCTTTAACTCTATCCAAAAGGTTGAAGGTTACAAAGAGATTTGAAACAAACAAGGTATAATGTTAACATTTGTTAAATGTGGTGGTGTTACACAGACACCCATTATATTATTTTCTGTACTTCTCAATTTTGAAATATTTCATAATAAAAATGAAAACGTCCACAGACTAAAGAAAAGGATGAATCACTGCGCCCATTTTCAGATTAAATAAGTAGGCATACTAAAACACAACTAACACAAATTTTCTTTTCCCAAAAAAAAACAATAAATGTTAACAGAAAATGTTACAAAGTCAGCAATGTACACTTTCATGAAGTATCCACCGATTTTTTTATATTAAAAATATACAATAATTAAAGAACAGGATTTAAATGCTACTTGAGTCAAAGGATGTAATTTCACACCACAAACAGGCTGTCCTTGCTTTAAAGGGTATCCTTTTGAATTTTCTTGTATGCCATTTCCTCTAAATGTGATTCCGAATAAAAGGGTTACTGTATAAGGTATAGAAGAAACCTAACTTAACTGTAGTTGAAACTAATGAATACACTGTATTCTAATATAAACCAACAGTGGCTTGATTCAAACATGTAAACTTCAGACGGCACAAAAACTTTCACTTTTCAATCTGAAACTTTTAACCTGCAAGGGAAACACGCATGGTCTGTAACTGTTTACCAAACATGTTTTCTGTCTTGTCAGGACAGCTTTCCCATCTTTGTCAGATTAATACTCCTTGATCACAGATGAAGTCTTTCAAATTAAAGATAAACAACTACTTGCCTGTTGTTTCTGATATGCAGTGTTTGGATTTATCTTTGATTCCAAGAGTAGTGATCCTGAAATATAAAAAAAAAATACAAATTTCAATCAATAAAAAATAAGAACTCACATTAAACACACACGTTTTCTTGGCCTCTTTGCTTCATCCAGCTAGACATATTCTGAAGTATGTATTTATAGAATACATAAAATGTATTCCAATTCATGCTTTTCTATTCAGATACAGGCTTCACTTTAAATTTAGAATATAATCCTTATCCCCTTAGACCCTCAAAAAAAAAAAACCATCTAAGACAAACATCAAACCAACAAAATGAAGAAACTAGATGACTATTAACATTTTATTGAAATGAAAATGTTAAGACCTAAATGACCACTTGAAGCCAAACTCTTTTAATCATGTTATTTTATTGCATTTCCAATTTAACAAATAAAACAAATTACAAAGTACCACGACAAGGATCTTAGTACTTGATTCACAAATTACAGTAATCCATTTATCCTTTTCTTGTTAAGAACAAAAGCGAAGGACACCTTTAGAAATAAACGTGCATGTCTATTTAAAATAAAAAAGTGAAAGAGTACAAAGCATGCCAAGAATAAATCTAAGTTTGTTATTTTTCTATTATCTGCACATATCAGTTGCTCAAACAGAGCAAAGTTCAGGTTAACCAATAAAAAGTGCCTTAATTACAGCTCTCCACTTTATAATGTTAAGATACCTCACATACGACCGTACAATAAATCAATGAATACGAATTTACAATCCACGCAGGTATCCTAACTTATTTGGGATGTAAAGTATCCACTTTTTCACAGCACCCTCCACAAAGGCAGCTTGGAGGGATCCCAGGCTGAATAAGTATGTGCTTTTTGCATGCATGTATCGTGGCAACAGTCTGCGGCAACCCCAGGAAAAGGTGTGTTTTGGTTTTCCCCACCACCTGTCGACTGTGGCAACTGGGGCCCGCTGGTAAAATCCGGTTAAAAAAAATAGAACAGAGTGGGGGGTGGGAATCCAGAAAGAAAAGTTTCACTAGACTTTCTATACATGACATATGATCAATAAAAAAATTTGAAAAAAAAGAGGGTCTCAGCTCCTCTCTGCGGCGAGGAGACCACTCACTACCTTGTCTTTCGGTACTTCCTTCTCTCCCCCAACTCCCCCCCTCTTAAAAAAGGGACTGGAAAGGAACGGGTCAAATCTCAACGCCTAATAGGAAATGGGGGAGGGTGGGTGGACAGAGAAGCGGCGTCCGACTGAGGGTAAACACGGACGGAGTGGTTTGTCTTTACCGTATAGAAGTGCAGACACAAAACCAACGCGATGTCCCGAGAAGAGAGAGAACAGTAACCGGGCCCAGGGCCTAAACCCCAGGGCTGTGCCCCAACTGGAGGCACTGTCCCCTGGTCCATCGTTCCAATAACCTTACCGTCGGACTCGGCCCGAACCAGCAGCGACATCCCCTTGAGCTCCTCCACGTAAGTGGAGGAGACGTGCCCGGTGCCTCGGTCGTCCCATTGCCGGTCTTCGTTCAGAGTATACACCTTCACTCGCCGCCGCGTATCCGACATGGTGGCTGCTGCCCCCGCCGCTCTAGCCGCCGCCTCCTCGCTCGCCTCGTCCGCGCCCCTCACTCTTTAAGAGACGGTAGCGGCGGTGGCGGCAGCGGCGGCGGCGGCTCCGGAGAGGCCCGAGTTCACCATGGCTCCAGGGGTTCAGCCGCGGGAAGGTGTGACAAGAGCCACCAAGACCCCACCGCCTGAAGTCCCTGCTACCTCTCACTTCACCCCCGCACACGCCCACCCTCCCCTCCCTTTGCCCCCCAGAGCTCGCTTGCTCTCCCGCCGCAGCCGCCGCCGCGGTAACCACTACAGATCCGCCATCTTGTAACCCGATTCTCTCTGCCTTTCTCTTCCTCCTCCAGCGGACTCGTACGGGCTGTCCTAGCAGGGGCTACGGCGGCCGACGAGTCCAACGCGCGGCGCATCCGCTTCTGCACGCGCTTGCCGGGCCAACTGTGCTCGGCGCTCTCGCAAGGCGGGGTTCGGGACTAAAGGAGGCGGGCCTAAGTGAGACTTCCTCTCCTCCTGGCCCCGCCTGCTGGCACGAGATCTCGGGGAGCGCGCGATTCTCGCGATCTCGCGCCCCGGCCGGCTCTGCGAGACTCCTCAGGGGGTAAGGTGGTAGAAGCCGGTTGCTCGGGGCAACCGCTGTGCCCTGAGACCTGTGCAGACCGTCAGGAAAAAGCTAAGCAAACTGGGGAGGCACTCAGCCTTGGACGGGACTAACCCGGAGCAAAAGGGAAGGGAATGTGCTCATACTTCTTAATGGAAGCTCACTCTGTTAGTCTGCGCGAAAAAAAAAGAGGGAAACCTTTCTGTGAAAACAAAGGAACTTTGAGCCCTTTAAGCCGAACCCCAAACCAGTAAAATTCGTTACGGAGTCTGTTACAGTTAAGCGTCCGCTCGGGAAGTTCTGTGGGGCCCCACGCGGCGTTAACGTTGTACAAAAGTTGGTTGACCATTTCCTATTTCCCGCCCAAGCGTTTCACTGTTTGGCTTTTAGTAGCTGGCCATGGAAAAGGAGACTTTCCGCTTCGTGAAGATCCAGTGCTCCTCCGGTGTTTGCACCCTTGGAAGAGAAATCCCCGCAGAGGGCTAGGGAGGTGGCGGGCTGCCGTCTCTCTAACACACCCAGGGGCATTGTTTTGATTTTTTTTAGAGTTGCTCGCGGACATCTGCTGTGTTGGCGATGGGGAGGTCTTCCGCGCTGAGTAAGCGAAGGAGGAATTCTCTGGGCGTTCACAGCGTCGGACACAGTGATTGTCACACGTTGCGCGGGGCGTGCAAGTCACGCACGGACAGTGCTGGCATGTAGTTCGTTCCTATCTCCGTTTGGTCTTGGTAGAATCCCTTTATTCCTTCTTTAATAGTCTCTCAGCTTGTTAAGGCGACTGTTCTTTACGACCCATTAGCCTGAGAGGTGACACTGGGTGAGGTGCATACGTGGACCCTGCACTGCCTCTTGGTAGTTGTAGTCATTGCTTGTCAAAACGTGCTTGTGTTTTGACCAGGTTGCTCACGTGTGGACACCCTTCAGCCCTGCGCTAAAATGTGGGCTAGTGCTTAATGCGCAACAGGCGCCTGACACAAATAAACTGTAATTTCAAAATCTGGATTCATAGTTTTAAAAATTTTAATCTAAAGGGCACCTCAGTGAAAGTACTTAAATTCAGCAGTTCGAATATGCACACGGGCGCCCTGGTGGCGTAGTGGTTAAAGAGCTACAGCTGCTAACCAAAAGGTTGGCAGTTCGAATCCACCAGTTGCTCCCCGGAAACCCTGTGGGGCGATTCTGCTCTGTCCTGTAGGATTGCTATGAGTTGAAAGCTGCTGGTTTAATATACAAAACAGAGCCCTAGTGGTGCAGTGGTTAAGCACTAGGATGGAAAGGTCTGCAGCTGAAAGGTCAGAGGTTGGAGCCCACCAGCACTCCATGACAAAAGACCTCGCCGTCTGCTCCCAGAAAGATTACAACCTAGGAAACCCTATGGTGCAGTTCTATTCTGTTCTGTAGGGTCACTATGAGTTGGAATTGGCTGGACGACACACAACATATATAACTGCTGTGATCGATGTAGACAAATGTATTTTTAAGTCCAGAGAAAATAACACTTCTGTCTTGGAAAGGTCAGAAAAAGTTTCACACATAACTTTAGAGCCTGATGTCAGAGGATCTCTGAGTGGGAATTTGGCTAGCAAAGGTGTTCAAGGCAGAGGGAAGAGTGTGAACAAAGTCATAAGATGCTACCGCCCTCAAAGAACTTAGAATTTAAAAGAATGAGAATTTAGAAGCCAATATCCCATAAATAGATCTAACCCTGGAAAAAATTATAAAATGACCTGAGTTATTTCCTGTATTCATTAAGTCAGACAACAAATATTTATTAAGCACATACTATGTGCCAGACACTGTTCTATACAATAAATGAAATAGAAAAAGTCCCTTTTCTCATGGAGCTTACATTCTAGTGTAGGAAAACAATAATATGCCAAACTCGTTACAATCGAGTTGATTCCGACTCTTAGCACCCTATAGGATGAGTAAAACTGCCCCATATGGTTTCCAAGGAGCAGCTGGTGGATTCGAACTGTTGACCTTTTGGTTAGCAGCCGAACACTTAACCACTGGTGCCACCAGGTACTGATGTCATGACAAAAAACAAGAGTAGCAAAAGGTTAGAGAGTGAGTTTGGGAAGGGTGATGCTGTTTATATAGCACGGTCAAGGGAGGCCTTTCTGAGGGAGGCAGTCAGCCATGCATGAACCCCAGAAGAAGAGAGATCCAGGAAGTGGGGATCAAGTGCAAAGTCCTTGAGACTGCGGCATACTTAACGAGTGAGAGAAATCGCAAGGAAGCTAGTGTGATTGGAGTGGAGTGAGAAAGAGGGAAAATGGTAGGAAAGGAGGTCAGGGGTGGGAGAGAGGCAGTCATGTAGGACCTTGAAGAACCCTGGATTTTACTTTGTGAATTTACTGGATTTTTTTGAGCTATGGAGAAGAAAGACCTTTCCATCTTTTTTTTTTTTTTTGGTATATCCCTAAAGTCTGAGAAATATTAAGGCAACACAGTTAAACTCCAGGAACTCATCTCTGCCCCTTGCTGGTCTTCAGCCACACCCTCTTCCTTTGTTTTTCTTCCTTCAGGTCACAGGGATTCACAAGTCTAAATATTTTAAGTTTACAAACTGATTAAATAAAATATGTTCTCTTCTACCTTCGATGACCTGGAAGCCAGATACGAATTTAGAATTCGTGGATTTAAGAG